GTCTCCTGTATTTGGGACCAAAGTAAGTTGGTTGTCCCTAAGTAAGTAAGAAAAGCAAAAGCAAGGAAGGGGAGCAGAAATTTGAACCTGGACCTCTGGGGACCTGATTCCCAGGCTGTGGGTAAAGGCTCAGCTGCTGCTGGGGGGGGGGAGGCAGTGGCAGGCCTCTGGAGAAGAAGATATTATTAGAGGAAATGCGAAAGTGGCAAGAAATGCTTTTAAAATTAACCCACTTTTTGTTGGGTTGGGTTGGGAGTTTTGCCCCGGTTCTGTGAAATGGAAGGAAGAGACACCAAATCTGGTGTTTTCACAGTTTTCTCCCTGGGTTGGCAGCCCTTGTCATGGTTAGCTGAGGCAGATCTTGGTGTCCCTATAGAATGCCTCATCTAAGGAAGAGCAGCTGGGGGATGGAATAAAATAAGCCTTCCCTGTGATCCAGGAAGGTGTTTGGCTTTCCCTGCTGCTTTCTTGGGTTAGCTGTGAATTATTTGGCGATCCACGTCTGCGCAGTTTGTCGGCAAGGAAGAGGAATGCCTCTTGTCTGTTTCCCTCAAGAAAATTGGGCCTTCCCTCAAATAATGTGGTATGGAATTAAGGAATCTTGGTGGTATCCTTTATTTCAACCCTAACCGTTTTTGAGTGGGAAATGGCCCATGCTCAGAGGACTGGTTTCTAAATTGGCCCTCAGGTGGGCAAACAAGTGGGGGGGGAGTTGGCTAAGGAGACCCCCTCCTGAAAAAGGAGGGGAGAAGGCAAGGAATGGGGCAGTATGGCCCAGCAGTCATTGTTGTTATTTATATGCTACATTTCTCCCAACAAGGGACCCAAAGCAGCTCACAACAGTAAAATTCACACAGTTTAAAAACACAATAAGTTAAAAAAAATTTAAAAAATTAAACAATATATGATTTAAAGTATAACTACAATTACTGTTCTCTGGCTCCATAGAGGCCCTCCGTGGAAAAAGAGGGACCCCCACGCACCCAGCCAGTCCACTGAAAGGCTTGAGGAGCAGCCGCATTCCCAGTGAAACTACGTCTCTTCCCCCATGAAAGAAAAACGCTGTGCGAGAGCTTTTCGGGATGGCAGTCGAAGGATTGCTGTGCACTGGGGTTCCAGGATACCTCTGGGGGAGCTAGGACCCCAAAAGGAGATGCTGCAAGCGGCGGGGTGCGCGCGTGCATGCATGCACATTTCCTGTCTTTCTCCCCAGCCCAGGTTGATCCCAGCTAAATTCAATCCTTTCCTGCTCTCTCTGTTGTTTGCGTATACCTCTGGGGCCAGAAATCCGGGTGCAATCCAGGGAGAGGCGGAGTGCCCTTTCCTTTCTCCCACCCGCCCTTCCTCTTTAGGCGCTTCTGATTTGACTGAGCATGGAGAGCCTCCCTGGAAGACTAAGAAGCGACCACTTGACACCCCTTTCCCCATATGCCTCAGATTCTGCTTGTTGCAATACGAGGACATGTGTCCTTTCTCAAACACCCCCCTCCAGCTTCCTGCTCCCCCTGGAGCCATGGGGCACCTGCCTTTCCAAAGCATGCTGAGCCTTGGCTCTCCTCTCTGCCGGGATCTGATAAGTGTGAAGAAGAAAGGGAGCTTCTCCCTTTTAGTCCTTCTGCCAATAGAGTCCCGTTTTTCTCGAGGAAGGAGGTCAGTTCCCCCTTCTCATGGGGAGAGTGATAGAACTGAACTGACCAGGCTCTCTTTTCTCTGGAGGAAGGCGCAAAGAATAGTCCCCAGATGGCAAGGAAGGAGTTAAGTTGGGAGTGTGGTTGGAGGGGAGGGAGGAGAGCGCTTCTGCCACTCAGCCTTCGAAAATCATTATAGGAATGTGGCTTATTTTTCCTACACAGGCCAGAGAGGTATAAAATTAGGGAGAAACATTACCTGCTCCTTTACTTCTTGGAAGAAGGACTTTCCTGGGTCTCTGGAAGAGGCAGGACCAGGAGGGAGACCTGGATGGATGTTTTAGAGAGTGGGATGGATGCCCTGCCGGAGGGATGTTGGGGGCAGGCGGACAAGGGCCCTGCGCTGTGGAGGGTGTTTGTGCAAGAGAAGGACGGAATTGTGGAACACTGGAATAATGTGAGAGGGTGAGGAGACGCATATGATCCTAACGTTCTTGTCTTCACAGACACTCCGTGGGATAGAATTAGTTGTGGCAGTAATTAGCCTCGGCTCCCATTCAGAGTTTGTGATCTTCCTACAGTGCATTATATGGCTATTCTTGAAGACGCAAAAGGATAACATAATTAAACTCAGTTTTAACTGGTTAAACTTAATTTTAAGGCTTCTGGTGGGGGCCTGCCATGTGGCTGCATTGTCTCCCTGCCTCCTGAAGAGAAACCTTGAGTTTCAAAAGAAGGCGATCATTGAGGGAAGAGAGGAGGAGGCGGGTTGCTTGGTGGCCCCTTGCTTGAAGCGATGGGAGATAAATTCCAGAATGCTGCTTCGAGAGGGTCTCTGGAAGTTAAGTCATGGCAACTGGACTTTTTCCTAATTAAGTTGAAACGTTTGTTACTCATATATAGAAGGTTTTTCCTGTGATTTTCCCTTTCAGCTGCCGGCGCCCTTTGAGGAGTTGGCCACGTATCTTTCCCACGGAGGCTGGAATCTTCTGGATGCAGCTGAGAGAGCTCTGCACGAGGACCTCCTGCTGAAGACCTCTGGGGACAAAGTCTTTCCAGGTAAGGATCCCTTTGCCTTCTGGGCATAGACTGTCAATGATGTTTCTGATTGCCCTGTTGGGACTCCCCTGTTGGAAAAAGCAGCCAGATGGTGTGCCCTGGACGAGGCCTCCCTGCGGTGCTCAAGTGTAAATATGTTCTCCTGCTCACCACTTAGGACAGTGTTTACAAACCTGTGAGTTGCGATGCACAAACGAGTTGTAAAGTGTTTTCTGGGGACAGTCACAGGCCACCTTATATTGTATCGTAGCCCTTGTTGACTAATTTCTACCTTGACCTTTCAGAGCGGGATATTAGAGAGAGAGAGAGAGAGAGAGAGAGAAACATGCCCTTTGAGGGAGAAAGAAGCCTCTGCTTTCTCTGAAAAGGGATGAATTTGCCCCATTAAAATGTGGTTTTATACAAAATGTGGCAGGTGAGTCATAGGTTACAGTGGTGCCCTGCTTGACGATGACCCCGCTGCATGACGAAATCGCTTAACAATGAGACAATGATTCCTATGGGGTTTTTCGCCTAACGATGAATAGTTCCATGCTTCGGGAACTGCTTTTTCGCTTCACGACGATTAGAAACAGCAGATCAGCAGGTCTCAAAATGGCTCCCTACTGTTTTCCAGACCTATTTCCAGAAGACATCGATCGAAAATGGCTTCCCCTATGGAGGATCTTCGCAAAACGAGCAGGTATTTCCCCCATTGGAACACATTGACCGGTTTTCAATGCGTTCCAGTGGGGGTTTTTTTTCACTTGATGACAATTTCACTGTAGAGCGATTTGGCTGGAACAGATTATCGTTGTCAAGCGGGGCACCACT